TGATGAAAATAGATATGGGTTTTTGTTTGGTGGCCCAACCGTGGACGTACAAAATAATTGGTGGACCATCGAAACTGCCCCAAGATTTTCCATGGCCCATCCCAAATCACTCCGGCCCACCCTAGCAGTTACTTTATGACCGGTCCCTTATGAATTCGGCTAGTATTATTAAGAGTCAAAGACAGCTATTAAACTTATTTTTAAAGTTTTATTAAGAGTCATATTTATTCCCGTTACTCTTTTTCTCCGTTCAGTTTACACTTCATTTTCGGCCTACTGTTCCTTGTCTTCCAATTAACTTTTAAACGAATTTAAACCTTTGCATTAAAACGGTCAAATTGTTGAATTGTACACAAAACGTTTGAGCTTCGGACTTATCTGACTGGAAAGTTTAGATAACATTAGAATGAAGTCCATTTTCGCTAGATATTTGCGAAACAAAGACCGGATCTTTCCATTGAGATAGATTTCGCGTTTGACCGTTCAGGCCATTAAATGAAAAGCGCCCTATAATACAGATTAATTCGATAATTGCTGTACACTGTTAATTTCGAGGAGTCAAATTGACTCCAAAAGTGGATCCTTTATTTACTCCATTTTTTGGAGTAAATTTTACTCCATAAGTAGAGTTGTTTTTACTCCTCAAAGAGTAAAAACAACTCTACTTAAGGAGTAAAATTTACACCAAAAATGGAGTAAATAAAAGAGTAAAATTTACTCCAAAAAAGAAGTCGTTCTGTACCTTTTTTATTTACTCCACTTTTGGAGTCAATTCGACTCCTTTGGACACAAAATGACTTCTATATATCGGAGTAAAGAAAAGTCTTTAACTAACTTTAGAAATCAATAAAGACATTTTTCGAGTCAAAATAATTTATTATCCCTACAAGTAAGGTATATTATAGCAGGAAATACAGTTTGCTGTAGCATTATACTCTTACGCCTATAATATTTTTTAATGAAGTTCTAAAATGAAATTTTGATTAGAATGATATCATGAATACATGTGGAATACAATTACAAGCCTGCCAGCATGAATTGAACCTGCAGCCCTGCAATTCTACCGCAGCCCTCTGACCTAAAGAGCCCTTTTGCCAAGAGGTAACCACAAGTTGCTGTATATATACCATGGTGGTGTCATTGGTAGTGTATTAAATAAACTTACTAAAACTGTCTTCGAAGGGCCTTCGCTCGAAACGTCGAGTTTCTGCTTATGTTTTAAGGTAGTAATATAACCACTCAGCACAGTTTTAAATAAACTGCCCAGGATGACACTAGTATTATATACATGAACTCTTGGTTACAGTAGAGCTTGATTGACTCTCAGGCAGTGGCGAAGCCAGCGTCATGTGAGTGGTCATGAAATATATACCCCAGAAACGACATTTGCAGCAATCTGAGCGTCAAATTTCAGAAAATAGCTTGATGTAATGACGGGAAAATATGTGGATATTTTGGCATATTTCAGACAACAATAATGAAGATCGACACAAAAATAGGAAATCTGTGGTCTGCAGTTCCTCTAATTATAGTCATACCGGCAATTGTGCATTTCTTTTCGATCAGAAAATATTACATGCATGTTCTATATTATCATAGTCTGTATAGACTACCTAATTTTTAATTGATTACTTTGATATGCTATCCCCTGGTAGTATTCCAACGTGAAGTCTGAAGAGTTTTCACATTTCCAGAACTAGATACAATTTTATCCAATATACTAACGGAACATAATGACAAATAGCTGCTAATACAGTCAGTATAAATCTAGAATATAGGTATAATATGCAGGACTTGGAAAATATAACGCATGAGCCTTGATCAATTTCCTTAATTCAAAATCAATCGCCCAATTATTACAATATTACATACAGAAATGAATTAAGCATTATCAGATGTTTGAGTAGAAGTTTTACTGTCAGTTTTATAGCCGAATTCTGCATTCATATCGATTATTGGCTATTGCCAATATTGGATCAGTTTTCGAACGCACGGGGAGTATGTACCAAATGGTAAATACAATTTAACAATATACAGGGTGTCTCAAAAAAAAACAAAATCATTGAAATAACGTATTGTTCGAATTTCAATGCCGTAACACAAAGGATTTTGACAGGGTGATTAATTTGTTTTAAAAAATTAAAATATCTTTGTAAAGTGAGCGTTTGTTTGCTCATGGGAATTTAAAAATGCTTCGTAAATTGTAATATGCGTAATATGCATTCGTGGGTTTAGTACTTTATGCCTGACATAACAAGTTTACGCTGAGTATTACCATTCATTATAGCAGTTATGTCAATCTTTTATGCACTCGTGGGATTAACTTAGTGCTAGGGCATTGAATATCGAACAATACGTCAATTTCAATGATTTTGGGTTTTTTTGAGACACCCTGTATATTGAAATTTCTTTGTTTGTTTCACAAACAAGTATATATCAAATATGTTGCTAAATCACAATCGCTAAAATGTTTGTGTTGCGTGTTGAAATGTATAAGCTTTGCAGCGCTATTTATAGAACTACATTGTTTACTACATTGACCTCGACATTGACATTGTATTTCATATAATATATAGCGTTCGATGCTTTATACCCCTATGCTCGGGTTGAAGGCTTAAATATTCAAGACAAAATACATGTAACAATAACTAAATACCAATAGGCAATAGCTTATTTAGCCTAAGTCTGACTGGCTAAGCCATTCTTTCTTTGAATACCACGACATTTGAAAACCTTCCCGATGATCGGGCATGTCGAAAGATCTGGCGTTTGTCTCTGCTAATAAACAATAACATTCTGCTCAGCAGAAAATGGTTTTTTCACCAATTCCCAAACCATATCCTTAGCTTCGAGTAAAGAAGAAGTCGACATGCTTGAATGACCTGAAGACGTGTTCATTAAGGCTGAAAGCTTCGAGCTAAGAGGCTGTGATCAGGTTGTGTTGCCCGTTTAGTCATGCAAATCGAAAATTGCATGACCAAGGCGTCAAAAACAGCCGCATTGCGCGTGCGCGAACGTCGTAAGCCAATCCGAAACCAACAAACCTAATATAAAATAATACAACTAGTCATGAAATTCTGAAAATGCATGACCAAAACACACAGCGAGCAAACCACGCAGCAATCACACGCAATCTTTTTCCACGCGCTTACGCAACCGGTCATGCATGTGAAAATATGCAGGACCGCTCAGTTGCCAAGGTAACAAAGCCAAAATCAATAACATACGAGAATATTTAGCAAGAATATCGCCTAAAGACCATTGATTTGGGTAAACAAAATAATAAATAAAATACTTAGGCATAGAAGTGCAAAGATAAAGTATAATTCTATTGTAAACAATTATACTGAACTGATTTTAAAACATTTTGGGGGAAATTTTTAGTCATGCACTGCATGACCGCTGGCTTCGCCACTGCTCTCAGGGCGATGAATTCTTAGGGCTTGAAGACCCTTGACGGTTAAAAAGCTGATCAGAATCACAGGGCAGCAGGTTCCATTCCCAGCACAGTACCGGCTATTACATAGTTATCGTTCAAAAAATTTACATTTACAGAAAAGCTTTAACCCATTAAGTGGCAGCACTCTCTCCTTAATGAGCAAAAATTGTCTGACCACATTAGACAGAAAAAATAAACTAGGGATCCAAGGATAGTGTGAAGTTTCAAATTGAAAAAGTCACTGCAAGAACTGTATCAATTACAGTTACATGTCTTATTTACAGTATTTCAGCACCACTTTCGGAGCGACAGGATTGCGTTGCAAATCGGAAGAACAATTGCCTCGTGCGAGTCGTGACACATGACCTACAAGGCTATAGGCTAAGCTAATACTATTATAATCCCTCATCTTTGGTTGTAGCCTCACGTTTCACACGAGTTGTGGACAGCTGTAGTATTTTTATTAACTATGCTGTAAGCAAACAAAATGTCGAATGGGAGATAATTCTGTATTTCGCTATTTAATGTCTGTAATTAGGTTTACATGAATCTTCGTGAGAGAAGATATTATTAACGTTAGTGCGTCAAAGAATCAGTTCGCATATTAGTATAGTCCATAGCTTTTGTCTTTTTGATATCAGGAGGTGACAGTCGATAACCAGTCTACGTCATTTGAAATGTTTATTTCTTGCCATATATTTTCGTTTCTTGTTGGTTGAATGATGATCGTGGCTTCAACGTAATATGTTTTTCTTCTCTTTTCTCTCAGTTCAGATCACACATTTAAGTTAATCATGGGCGTTGTGCAGTTCTCTTGTAATTTCACTGTGATTACTGACAGTTCACAATGTATGGTTGGGATATGTGCTGGCTTCATGTTGTTGCTATTGGTGCGAACTTGGAAGTCGGTAATTTCCAAATTGTTAGCCACACTTTGAGGGTTGTATATTTGAGGTTCCTATAATCTTCATTCAATATGGTCATGATGTCACTAAAACAAGGATGAAAAGAAAATTAAATGAGTACAAGAATACTGTAACTATATACACAGTGTCGTAAATTGCGAAGGGAGTCATTTAAAAATATATAAAATTCATTAAAACTCACCTTCTTAAAGCTTTGGAGTCACAGCGAGACTTATTCTGCCGCTATAGTAAGTAGCGACGCTGACCCCTCGGAAATCGAGGGGGTAATCCAGTGGTGTTCTGGAGATCTAGTCAGCACTGGGTCTGAGTCCATTTGAGTTGATAAAAGATTTTGTGGCTATGAATTGATTGTATATGACTCTATATCACTATGTTCTGATATGTTCTATTAAACATTGTATCTTTGTTGTGATTTCTAAGATTGTTCTGACTTAAAGATTAACTTGAAGCTTGTCGATATTGGGATGCAGTTATTTGTAGTTTATACGTACAGTAGCTATATTAAATTTTAACTTCTTGAACTCTTCATTTATTTATTAATAAAAAATATCAAATAAGTGTCACGAAAATAGGCTTATGGTCGCTAAAATACGATTCTAAAACACCACAGTCGTCACTTGGCTAATAAGTTGCACTTATTGCTTTTCTTCGATTAAATATTTAGAAAGTGTATTTTTGTCGGATGCATTTTCAAAAAGGTTAACATTAAAATCACCAAGGATGATAACAGGAGTATTTGGATCATTTATATACGTGGAGTGCAAATGTTTTAAAGCATCTACAAACATTGAAATTTTTACTTTTGATTTAGAGCGATAAATTCCTACAACATGTAAATTATTTACTGGTTGGTTTACTTTGAGTAATGTCATTTCTACATGATTATAGTTGCACCTTGAAGCTTCTAAGATGAGTTGTATATTGTCTTTTACGTAAGCAGCAGTTCCGTAAGGTGTTCTAGTACCATGTGGGATGAAGTCATTTCTGAATAGTCGAAATCCTGGAATCTGATACAATTCATTGTTGTCATTACTACATAGAGCAGTTTCCACAAATATATTAATATCTGCTGCTTTTACATTATAATCACTCGCAACGTCAGCAACGTGAAGATGTAATGATCTCACATTCTGGAATAATATTTTAAATGTCCCACTAGTATCTTTATAGAGAAATGGAAGATGACTTTTAAGTACAGAATTTTGTCTTAGTCTTGTCATTTCTTCTTGTACCTTCCTGCTCACAGCTATTTTCTTTTCGTTCAGATTAAGAATATGTAATCCCAAAATGCTTCTAAGTCTGCTAAGAGCAACGTAATGCATATGCTCTCGCTTTAACGATGGAAGATCAACAACCGCTTCATTTAATGTATCTCCTTGACAACGGTGAATAGTTTTGGCTGCAGATGGTCTTAAAGGAAACTGTCTGCGAAGAACTTGTATTTTATTTTTTGTAAACTGTCTTTTTACCTCAAGAATTGGAACCCAATTTTTTTCTATACTTTGATTGTAAAGATAAGAGTATTCTCTGCGATAATCATTCCCAATATGTTGTTCTTGAAATAAAACCCAGATAATACTTGGTCTTGATGAACCTTCTACTCGGTAATCGATTTTCTTGATGATACATTCAGCACCATTAGTCATACCATCTAAAACTGACACGTTTGTCGTGAGGTCATCTTTTGCTTCCTTAAGTATTGAACATACTGAGTACAAGCCCATGGTTTTCGAAGGATCGTTTGGGATTTGTTTTTTGAGTCTTTTTTTAAGTCGTCAGATAAATCTCCAAGTACAATGTCTATTGCTTTAATGTCGACCTTCTCGTTTGAAGATTTCTGGAAAACGTCATGATTATGTTGATCAACTGCCATATTAGTACTGAATAAATGGGTTAAAGATATTGGATAATCAGGATGTTGTGGACTAATGTTTAAAATTCTTTCTTTCAAAACTTCGATGTCAGCTTCAGTATGATTTCCTTCTCTTATACGATTTAAAATTTCAGCAAATTCTTTGTCTTCCCTTTGTCTCATAACCTCAGATAATTCAAACATTTGAAAATATTTTTGCCAGAGATTTGTTGCTAATGCAGCATAACCATCCTTTGAATTCTCAAATATCCAATTATCGAACACGGGTTTCAGTTGAAATAAGTCGCCAACTGTTATTATGCTAAGACCGCCAAATGGTTCTTTTGTACCCATGATTTGTTGCAATCGTAAGTCAAGAAAATTAAACATAGCACTTCCTACCATAGATATCTCGTCAATAAAAATAACTTGCATTCTCTGTAACTGAGATCTTATTGTATTCAATCTGTCTCTATCTAGTGTACAATAATTGAATCCTCTGTTTGCAGGAATTTTAAAGGCGGAATGAAGTGTATTTCCTCTTATGTTGAAAGCAGCTTTGCCTGTTGGGGCTACTTTTACAACACTGACATCATCAGGATCATTCTGAGGTTGAGAATTTAAGTATCTTATGAGAGCTTCATACAAAGCATTAGTGACACTACTTTTACCTACACCAGCACCTCCGCTTAAAAACAGTCTCATTGGCAGTTTATCAGTTTTGACAGAGTTCAGTACATGGTAAAAAAACTCTTTTTGTTCAACATTAAGTGATTGGACAAGTTTTCTAAAATCAGCATCACTCAGTCTTTTTACAACAAGTTCTTCATCATCATTTGTTCGTGGATATATACCAATATCATTTATCAGGTCGTATTGGGCATGTTGTTTATCTTTTCCAGGATCGAAGCATCCGAATAATTCACTTGCTTTTGTCCCAATTTCTCTGTCTTGTTCATCTCTATACTGCGTATTCGGAGCGACTAGATTTTCTTCACTTTCAATATCTTGTACTGCCTGATCAAGAACTTCGGTGTGATTCTCGTATTGTTTTCTGTTTTGTTCTATCACAACTTTGATAATTTCATATCGATCCTGGTAAGTTTCAAAGTCTTTCAGAAGATCTGTATTTTCATTTCTCCAAGCGGTATAAAGCATTATCTGTTCTCCACAATAATTTTCTGGATCTTTGGTTTTATTAAATCTAACCGACCGTATGATTCTTGGCTTTTGTCTCTTCACGAGCGTCATTCCACCTTTCATTTCATATTCATCATTTTCATCATTTTCAAATATTTTCTGTTCTTTATCAGAAAGATCATCATCTACACTATCATCAAAATTACTCTCTGTAAGATAATCATCTATTAATGGTGAATTTGGTTTAAGTTTGCTTTTTTGATTACTGTCACTTTTACAATTGAACCAAGCCACAAAATCAGCCAGACATAAATTTTCCAATTTCTTCGGTCTTCTCTGATATCTTTTAATAATGTTATCTGATTCAATATCAACAGAATGATCAGGAAGTTCTTTAATTTTATCCATATTTTTTAACAAGAATGTTCTTTCATGTGGGTCAGATGTATTGATAAATTGGAATTCTCGAGACGATCGTCTCAAAGGCATTTGCATTACTAAGTAGACAGCCTCTTGTGCACTTATTTCAACAGCATTGAGAAATTTGTTACCAATATGTCTCACCTTGTTAACAATATTCTTATTGCCTTCTTTTGCTTCTTCACATGCTTTATGAAGTAACTTGCTCATTCCTCTTTGACCTTTAGTAATATATGAAAGGATATAAACAGCACAAGCATAAGGATCTAATACGTACTGAATATCCATATTAGCTTTCCAAGCTCTGAGTAAGTTTGGATTATAACAGTTGATTCTAATCTCAGCTGGCGATCGTTTCAATAACAAAGTGTTATGTTTAAGAGAAAGCCGTATAGCCTTTAGATATTGCTGTTCTGATAAATCTAACCTTTTGAGAAATTCATCAAAGGTCATGGTTTCATCAGCTTTAATAGAGTCTAATAATGAACGTATCTGTCCTAAAGTTTTCTTTAATATATCTGCAATATTTTCCTCTAGATCAGTCTCAGACAAAGGCTCTAAAATCATAGTTCTCGGCATTGGCGGTAAAGGAAAGTTAAATCTGCAAACAGCATTTCCTCTTTTCTTGCATGTTTTAGAGTGTTTGTGCCTTTGTAAATTTACGAGTTCAGTTAAATCATCTGAGTCAGCTTTACATGAAACGTAGCTATCTACAAAATTGGTAATATCTTCGTCGGAATCTTTACCATACTCAGGTGCATTTTTTATCCAGAATAATCCATGGATATGTGGAGAACCTCTTTGCTGGAATTCAACACGATAGAAAAAAGTCAACAACTTCTCCAATTGGATGGCATGAACTTTTAATAAAATTGTGAATAAATTGTTGCACCATATGTTCAAAATTTCGAGCACATGTTACTGGATCTTTCTGTATCAGTTCAGACTTCTTTTGGCAAGTCATTTGCTTAACCTCATCGTCAGTATAGTGTTTGTTGTCAATAAGACGACCAAGAATTTTAATCAAACAAGACGCCTACTCAGGCGTTCACACTGACATGAAAATGATGACATGCGCGCTATGGTGCAATCTCGTTCCCTGAGCCTGCGGCCTTGGGAAGGAAACGAAGGCTCTGGGATATTCCATTTCCAGGAGGAATCTGATTGGCCGTTGATATGGAATGTGCAGTTCAATCTTAGCCAGAATTCCTGGCTTTCGGCAACGGATTATCCCAGAGCCTTCGTTTCCTTGCGAAGATCGCAGGTTCGGGGAACGAGATTGGCTATGGTGTAATAGACAAGGGAATGGGGAGCAAGAGAGTTCGTATAGAACAGTTTCAGCGGTAGATACGGTAGATTTATCCAAAGGAAATCAATAATTTGACAACAAAAAGCAGAAGGCAGAAATCACCACTTTATCATTGGCAACTTTTCAACCCTATATACCATGCATTTAGTGCAACCTTGAGTGTCCCTATATGTCGTGTGGACTTTATCTATTGGTCGAGTGTCGGGGGTTAAATGTCGAGGGTAAAACGTCGAGGGCGAGGGCAAAACGTCGAGGGCGAGGTAATATGCGTTCCACGCACATATTATAGGCTACTACGTGCATTTTAAATGTACTAACAGGGCAATTTAAACTTCACGACAAACGGCCTTTTTGGCCGTCGACTGGAATTTTTCTTCTTCGTTCGCTTCATCTTCTCATTGTTATCTCAAAAGAATCATTATACATTACAGTTTTAAAATAGCTAGTTCATTTCCCATTTATTATCTAGTAGCTACTGCATGAATTTTAATACATGTGTTATGGTACATTATACACATGAGAAAAATCCAACACGGATTCGACAGCAGATTTCGTAACAAATGTCTTAGTTCTTGTTCATTGCCGGTGGTATTTTGAACGCACGCTTTATCTTTACTTGCGCTAATTCTAGTAGCTACTGCGCGAATTTTAATACATGCATGTGTTATATATGGCGCGTTTTTATACTGTCAAAATTCAATAGGACCAATAGTTATAAGTCGAACACCAAAAAACACCAATGATACAAATCGAGCAACACTTACTCGAATGGAGCAGAACGAGCAAACAGTATAGCTAAATTGAACGACTATTCCTTGTTTATATTATATTGTGAACTAAATGTGTATTAGGCAAATGAGAACCATGCAATAAATGTCTTGGTATTTTGAATGCAAGCTTTATCTTTAATACTTGCTCGAACTCTAGTAGCTACTGCGCGAATTTTAATACATGTATTAATGTATATTGTCGACATTTTGTGGGTGAAAAGAATTGGCTAGTTTACATTGTTCATTATATTATGAAATATGATACTAGTTAAAATTCGCGTCGAGCTAAATGTTATTGTATTAGGCAAATGAGAACCATGCAATAAATGTCTTAGTTCTTGTAGGTATTTTGAAGGCACGCTTTATCTTTAGTATAGCTACCACAAAGCGTTTGGCGCACCAACTAGTAGCTACTGCGCGAATTTTAATACGTGTATTAAGGTATATTGTCGACATTGTGTAGTGAAACTGTTGGTTCACAAAGTCGATAAATCAAACACGTCGACTGGATATTGTATATCGTGTTAATATTTGAAATAACAAACAAAACAATTCGATCTAAAATGAAATTAAACTATGTAAAAGACTAATATTTAACATGCACTGATACCTATAAACGCGCATATGATGACAATTGATATTTACATGATAATATTACTTACTTCTGTGGCAATATCGATCCAGTACTTTACACCGTTTTACATATTCAGGTTAGCATAATCTCCGTATAAACGTTCAAACCACAGGTTAGCAATCAGTTTTCAGGTCAGTATAAATTATAGATCTCGATATTGTTTCAGTGTTTCTGTTTCATGCATTCATGCAGGCATCTGGTTATACTTGCGCTATTTTGACATGCGGCCTAGTATCATGTTTCTAAATGTCTATCAAAGTATTTCTCAATCCTTTATTAGCTGACTATTATTAATGTTTAATCTATATATAAATGTTAACAGAACAGTTTTTAATCGTACTATCAGTACTCGTTTATCGAAACAACTGTCAAACCTTTAACTTTTCCTTGTTTATATTTTGTTTATATCATGCTGTGAACTAAAAGTTATTCTATTAGGCAAATGAGAACCATACAATAAATGTCTTAGTTCTTTTTGGCATTTTGATCGAACGCTCGCTTTATCTTTACTTGCGCAAATTCTAGTAGCTATTGCGCGAATTTCAATACATGTATTTTAATGTGGTCAAACCTTTAACCTTGGCCTTGTTTATATTGTATTGCGAACTAAATGTTATTGTATTAGGCAAATGAGAACCATACAATAAATCAAAATAAACTGTCGAACCTTTAACTTGTCCTTGCTTATATTCCACTATATTGTATAAATCCGCCGGGTCGGCCAAATTTTGGAAGCCAAATTTTAGAGTCGTTTAATACAAAAAGAAAACATTAATTCAACACGCAAGAAAGCCCAGAGTGCGACAAAAAATGAACACAACGACACCACGGATGTTTATGACTCTACAACGTATATTAATAGATAGTTGTTTATTAGTTAAAAAGTCAAACTGTCGAACCTTTAACTTGTCCTTTGTAAAATTCGCTGGGTCCAAATTTTGGGGTTTTCGAGTCGTTACATGAAGAAAAACATATTAATTCAACACACAAGAAAGTTCAGAGTGCGACACAACGTAAAATCCATAGGAAACCGGCACAACTCTTTGAAAATTCAACGAAACTGTGTGAAATATATTCTGATCACTCAGCCAAAAGGCGCCATTTTGAAACTGGACTGAATATGTCACCATTGGAGTTCGGAATTGTGCGCGTGCGTATAAGTCCATATAAGTCTATATATGGGCTAATAAACGAAAAATGCACCACAAGCATGGCATGAGCCGGCTAATACGTACATAAATACAAGCTTCTTACTATTATACATGAATCGTGGAGTCGAAGAATCGATGGCATTTTGGATTAATCGTTGCACCCTGAGCCTGCGATGCGCGAACGCAAACTCGATTTCTCGACGACGAAAAAAACAGAAGAAAACAGAAAACTAGGGATTTAAGACACTTGACCTTTCAGGTCAGTGTAATGAATCCAACGCGTTTCAGCAGCTGAAAATGAACAGAACCATGTAGGTTTACCAAGCTGACGAATCATTGCAAATAGATCCTTCTTACATCTTTCAAAGTATGGAGGGGAACCGCGTAAATTTCTTAAAACTCTGAATCCTTCATCTAAATTGATTAGCTTATTAATTAGCAGAACTTTAAGACTTTAAATCCCCTGCTGTGTACGTTTTACCTTTGGTTTTACATTTACGCAATGATAAACTTCCACTTCCTTGGATTTGTCTGATCTGTAATTTTTTTAATTTATAAAAAATGTTTGGCACAGATTGAGCAACTCTTCGATCTCGACTTCGTAGCTTGACATTTGCCACAGTAAATGGTAGGGAAAGACAAAAATTCAGCACCTTTATCTATAAATATACCAAGTGGTCTATTTCCTTCTCCTGGTGCAAAACTGATTATTTTATCACCATCTTGAGTAATGTCAGGTTCTTGTAATAATGTATCCATAACACCTGATGGTCGTTCAGTTACTTCACACAGTTACTTCATCACGTTCAGTTACCGTTAGTAAACGTTCAGTTACTTCATCATCAGTGTCATTGTCATTGTCAACGGAGTCGTTACTTACTCGTGTCTCCACTGTTTCCTGATTTTCAATATTCAAATCGTTTGACAGATTATCTGAAGTCTCCTTAGTATTCTTGGTAATAAATTCTGACCACTCTTCGTCCTTATTGACTGGATTTGACACATAAGTATCCATTACTTGTATTCCTTCATTTTTGAATATTTCACTAGTGCGAACCAAGTATTGAGCTGCATCTAAAACTTTTGTAGGTCTAACGTTCTGAAATTGATAATGGTGTTTATAACCAAGCCGTCGTTTCAATTTTATTGGAGTAGTTTGTGACTCGTTAATTGGTCTTGGTAAAACACTAACAGTTGTGTTAACATCAGCAGGAACATTAAGTGGTGGCAGTCCCGCTAAGAGCGGTCTGATGACTTTGACTTCGGAAAATAGATTTCCTTTATTTTTTGTGTGTTGAAAGGCATTGGTATACAAGTGTCCAAAATAAATTTATTTTTTAAAAATTCTTTTTTATGGCTTCGCTAGACACCGAAACTCATTTTACCCGTGCAGAGCTATTTTCAAGCAAAATCGAAGGTTGAATTTCGGTAAATTGTAGAGCCGCGCTGAGTCAAAACGCCTGACTATTTCCAAATTTCAACTAGATCAACAAGCAGGCGCGGATCCAGCCTAAACCCTGACCGTGGCGCACTCCAAAACCGTCAATAATTAGGGGGGTCCGGGGGCATTCGCCCCCGGAAAATGTTTGAAATTTGAACCCCGGAAATGCCATTTCCTGAGTTCTGAGCATCGAATTCTATCATACAATTCGTCATTAATTACGCCATATTTTAGAGAGCAAATAACGAAACGCACTAAATAAGTCAAATATTTAAACAACATATCATGTTCTTCAACGTTACAACATTAGAATGTTACAAAATCACTGTACTTACATAAAACCACAACTCTGTACCGCATGTACTGTTCCTGTGTATTTCAGGTTCTTCGTAGCAAAAAAATCCAATTAGGGCTGTACATCGAACTCAATCATCTTGGCGTTTCTGTTGAAACGCAGGTCTTTTACGGGGTGGGTTTTTTCAGCTGCACATGCATCGATACCAAGTGTCTTATTCTCGATCATTCGCTTAAACTGTGTAGCACGGAAAGTTGCCGTTGCGTGAACATTGGATTTTTCACCATGCTGACATAGTTTCTGGACAGCAGAAGCACTTGGAGGAAGAGCACTGGTCATCAATAGTTGGAGCTCGCTTGCATTATGCGTGCTTTCACTGCCAAAAAGAACACAAGTGACGCAAAAACCACCGTTTGCCACAGCAGAGTAAGCCAACCATGGAAATCGTGATAACCATGCCAACCGGAAACGTCTACCAATATTTTCGCGTGGAGGAAAAGAAAAATCAGAACCAGGTTTCCAATGGCAATGATTGCACAGAATTTCGTACTTTCTCGAATCAGGAAGACTGGACACCAGATTTACGTAGTTGTAGATATCATCTGGCCACGAATTGGTGGAAGTTCGTTGTGTTTTGGTGTTAGATTTTTCTGAAGTAGGACCAGTGTTGGGAGTTACAGATGAAATTCCTTTACTAGTGCTGGGAAATTTGATTTCACTGTCTACAGTTTCTTGTGTGTTGCACGCTCGTTTCACAAGAAGCGCACCGATCTAAGCTAATTTGTTTTCTTTTTGGACCAGTCGTCTGCTTTTTAGTAAATGTAGTCACTTGTGTAGAGGAAGGAGCAAAAAAACTTTAGGAGAAACTTTAGGAGAAACTGTAGGAGAAACTTTAGGATGAACTGGCATCGCAGACTTCAATAAGGTTGGAAGGTGTGCTTTAAAATAATGGTCTCGTGGCTGAAGTGCTTTAACTGGTTTGCACAAGGAAACAAAATGATTTTTGGTAGATAGAATTCTTCCATCAACCAAATAAGACGGTGGCATCGCAGCACAATGAAAGATATGGACATATTCAATTGCACTGCCATCAAGATAATCCCGTAGATATACTGTATTGTACAATTGAATCCAAGGAATCCCAATTTTCTTTCGCTACAGTATCATTGGTGAGTGGGTAGAATGACTGAATGGCACACTGAATTACTGTGGGCAAGGCAAACATGCACACCATGGATGAGAACGTGTAATTTTTTGCAGTTTCCTTTGCTTCTTCTAAAACTGCTGCATTTCATTACAATTCTCGAAAAAAGTAAGAGCTGCATCAGATACACACATGGCAGAGGCATTTTTAAGTGTAGTGAACGCTAGTATAGTATAGTATAGTATTTGGCATTCTCAAACAGTTCAATACTGGTGAGGCATCTCAAGTGAGCAGACAAACTCTCATTCCCGATTAACGCAATAGAACATGCATTAAAGAGACAATGAAGTACTGAAAGAATTTAAGTTAAGCATTTAAGTATCAATGGTTATTTTATATTATGGCGTCAGGTGAAGGCGTTCTGATATGTGCTCTTGTAATTATCACGATTTTTATGGTTAATAAAGCCCAATTTATAAGCAGTGATTGCATTGGAATAATGATGAATGATTCTGCTGTGGTTGTATCTACAAACGAAACGCATACATACTCATCGCTGTGGAATATTCGAGCTTACTTTAGCATTTCATGTCGTAAGCAAAGAGTAAAGGCAATGATTTTCCTTCTACTATTGTGTGGTGATATTGAAACCTGTCCAGGTCCTTCGAATTGCTGTAATTGTCAGAAGATTATTAGAAGTAACCAAAGCAATATAAGTTGCAATGATTACAAAGGAAATCCCACCTGTGTCTGTTCTGAATACTATGAATCCAATATGGCCGCCTCGGGAAATAACAATCAACTTGGAGAAGGTATGTCTGATGACCCACCAGCCTTAGAGGAACTACTTAACCTTGTTAGTTCAAAGGGAATAAAGTTATTACACCAGAATATCTGTGGTTTGGCTACAAAATATCCACACATCGAATTTATTCTCAAAAACTATAAGGATATTCATATGTTTACTTTGAGTGAAACGCATTTGCATGAAGAAAATATTCAATTATTGCCGAGTATTCCCGGGTATTCAATGGTCTATAGAAATCGGACAAATGGAAACTTTGGTGGTGGTGTTGCTGCTTTTATAGCAGACCGAGTTCAATGGCTGAGAAGACATGACTTAGAAAGTCCCCATTTGGAATGTCTGTGGATTGAAGTTTTACTCAAGAATACCAAAGGTTTCTTGATTGGGACTCTCTATAGGCCTCCAAATGGTTCAAAGTTTTTACCAAAAGATTTCCCTGCCTATTTTGATGATATGCTAACGTCAGTAGCAGCCGAGAATAAAGAAGTGATTCTAATGGGTGATATAAACTGCAATTTCTTAAAGAAAAGCAATGATGCAGATATTAAATCTATAATAGATGTTAATGGTTTAGAACAAATGGTTAAAGATCCCACGAGAATTACTCCTGAGTCTTCGACACTAATTGATGTCATCTGTACAAACAAGCCCCAGAATATTAGTAAGGTTGAAGTAATATCTGCAAGCTTGAGTGACCATGAAATGATCGGCTGTGTGCGTAAACTAAACAACCATTCATTTAAAGCCCGTACTATCGAAGCCCGTGACTATAGGAATTATAATCATGAAGATCTATGCAATAATCTTCGACAATCCAGTTTTGATTCAGTGTTCGCTTCAAAAACAGTTGAATCAGCATGGGAAAATTTTAAACACATTTTTCTTTCTGCTGTTGACAAATATGCCCCACTAATTAGAAAGAAAATCCGTGGTCGCCCTTGTCCATGGTTACGAAATGAAACGAAGCGTGAAATGGCCGAACGAGATTGGCTGTTAAAGAAAGCTAGGAAATCAAATGCTGAGAATGATTGGAGTAAATATAAAAGAAAACGAAATCGTGTAAACAATCTAGTCAAGATGAATAAAAACCGCTATTACAAAGATTTACTGAAGGAGAATTCCAGAAATCCAAAAAAGTTTTGGAGTACCATAAAAGAAATTTTTCCTAATAAGTCGGCAAAGTGTACTGGACGATCATTTCATGCTGATGGCAAACTAATTACGCATAGTAATTGTATAGCAAATGCATTTGGGTCATTCTTCTCGACTGTCGTAGACAACCTAAAACGAAAATCCCGTCCTCTGAAAGACTTTGTTTGGGGTCATCGGCATGTACCCATTACCCAAACTAACTTGAGCTTTCAGTTTATACCAGTCACTGAACACCACATAGAAAAAAAATTGAATCAATTAAAACGATCAAAAGCTGCTGGTATTGATAATATCCCTCCTGGAATACTTAAGGACTGTTCGACTGTTGTGAAGGATCCTCTGGCACATATAATAAATATGAGCTTATGTACTGGAGTAATACCTTCCGAATGGAAAGTGGCTAAAGTCATCCCAGTTCACAAAAAAGGGCCCATCAATGATTTTGACAATTACCGTCCTATATCGATATTACCGGCTGTCACAAAAGTCATGGAACGAATAGTGCATGATCAACTGATGAATTATTTAGAGATCAATCATTTGATAAACGATTCTCAATTTGGATTTCGACCAAAACGATCAACGCAATTAGCTGTGACACTATTGTTGGATAAAGTTCGAGCGAATATGGATAAGGGACTACTAACAGGAATGGTCTTCATTGATCTATCCAAAGCCTTCGACACTGTGTCCCACTCTAATCTGCTAAATAAACTAACAAGATTTGGTATTAAATCATATGAGCTGGAATGGTTTACCAATTACTTGTTTAATCGATCTCAATGTGTTAGCTTCGATGGTTCATTATCAGAGAAATTCAAAGTTACATCAGGAGTACCCCAAGGGTCTATCTTGGGGCCTCTTTTATTCATATTGTACATTAATGATATCGACGACCATCTCATTAGTGCACAAATCATAAAGTATGCTGATGACACAGTTCTGTTCCTGGCTGGGCAAGATATTTCTGAAATTGAAAATCAACTTACAAGTGAAATGCAAGTTGTTACTAAATGGTTAGATGAGAACGATCTAATCATAAATCTCAACAAAGGAAAAACTGAGTCTATGTTACTGGGAACTAGTCGAAGAATACAAAATAACCCCATAAGAGTATATCTAAACGATAAACTGATCAATTTCACAACCAAATATAGATATCTTGGAGTATTGGTGGACCAGAATGTAAATCTGAAAGAACATTTTGGTCAGGCTATTAGGAAAGCATCTGGCAGGTTAAGGTTGCTTAAGAAAATACGATCTTCTCTAACTATGGACGCTGCTGAATCTATATACAAATGCATCATAATGCCACTACTAACATATTCCAGCGTTGTTACTCTAAACTTGAATGCCACCCAAACTTCACGAATTGAAAATCTCCAGGATCGAGCTTCTAGAGTAATAAAATCAAGTGAATCGGCAGATCTAAGACTACCTGACCTGATGAGCTTTGCAAAGCTGCAAACGTGTTTCCTGGTGAAACAATGCATGGACAGGAATGTGTGTAGTAACTTTCACAGTTATTTTGAACGGTTACAACATGTAAAGAACACAAGGAACAACGGAATAAGTGTCAGGATTCCCAAAATACGCTTGGAATCCACAAAGCATGCCTTTTATTATAATGGAGCAATTGAATTCAACAAATTGCCCAAAGATATTAGAGAAATTGACAGTTTTATGCTTTTTAAACGAAAACTTAAAGAGAACCTTAGTTCATTATAATCCTTTACAGAATTGACTGTAGTTAGATTTTTAATATTTTTAATATATTGACTTTTTATACTCATAATTTTTAGTAGTTTTAGGTAAACAGGACATGCGTTGATAGCAGTGAATAGTCACTGAAGCATTTTTTATCCTGTGTAAATATTTTTTAATAATAATAATAATAATAATAATAAATCCATGACACAACTATAATACATGACCACATGTTCACATCATATGCAATTGCAAACAATTTTCAAAGGAGTAGGGTACAGAATTGCAATATAACAACATATAAGTAAATTATACATGTCATGAACTTACCAGTTTGTGTTGAGTTAAATTTAAAAATTTTTAGGACATCAAATATTTATTTATTTGCAAATCAAAATATTTTAAAATTCTCGTGTTTTGTTTTGTATTGCGCCCGCGATATATTAATGGTATTAACCGCTGTGAATATGATATACATTTTCAATACATTACCTATCTTGCGCTCAAAAGTTCAGGCAGTGAGTTTCTAGAAAGGATGAAAACTCCGTTTTATATATGGTATGTAAAAGGTAATCGTTGTTTACTGTTTATTTTGTATTCAGGTATGGGGAATTTAAGTGATGAGAGTTGCAAAACTTGCAAATGTAGTCTGACTAGTTTCTTTGACGTCATCATGCAACTATTTAATATTGTGCTACATTCATTATTCAATTTATTCACGGCAATTAGCCTTCTATAAGCCATACAAATGATTATAGCTTATAGCCCACCTTGCCTTTAACATTGATCCTATATATAATGAATTAACATAACTAACTTGATTATGTTGCTAGTTGAGTATGGGGCCTATGGTTCTTCTAGGACCTTCTAGATCCTAGAGTAGCACAATTAATATAAAGTCTCCGTAAGGCGGTAATATTAAAGACTGCTCTTATTTATGCATGACCTTTGACTATTAAGTGGCCAAAAATTGTGCCTACAGTAATCAACTTATTCCACTATCCCGGTTGCATCACTTTTGATTGCAAAACACCCGGGTTTATTATACATAGATTTGCTAGCGAAATAGCAGCAATTGATGAACTTGGTGTTATACTAAGATTTACTAAATGTGTAAAGAAACAACGAAAAGTATATATCAATCATTTTGGGATCTCCAAACAAAGTAGCTACATGTGCAGACAACATGAAACTTCAGACTGCAGAAAATTTCACAATCCATTATCAAACTTATGTCACAGAAGTGGTAAAGGACATACGTGACAACTGAATAGTACCTTTTGTAATTTTTTTGGCCAGGGGTGGGTATTTATTTTTTAATTGATATTTGAGGTTGGGTAATCAATTTTGTTTACTTTTTAATGGTTGGGTCAGCAAAATTTTTGCTACGAAAAACATTTCTCTTCGGTGCCACCCCCCGCCATAAATAATGACCGGTCCCTTACATCGACTCATCCAGAGATACCACATAAATTTAGTGCAGAAATTGACAAGTTTCATTTTCACCCTGTGTCCTGTGACGTGATTCGTAAAATTGTGTGTTCTTTTCCATCCAATAAGTCCCCTGGACCAGATAAAGTTTCTGTGAAAGTGATCAAAGATGCCTTACCATACATTCTTCAACCTCTTACGAATATTGTTAACTGCTCTTTAAGAGAATCTTTGTTTCCCAGCGCCTGGAAGTTGTCAGAAGTTATTCCCCTATTAAAAGAAGGGGATCACGAAATTGCTAAAAATAATCGGCCAATTTCCTTGCTACTTGCTGCATCAAAGATCTGCGAGCGTGTAGTTTTGGAACAATTTACCGCATATGTGGAACAGAAGAAATGCTTAAGCGTACACCAAAGTGGAAACAGGAAGCTGCACTCCACTGAAACATTGAATTTATTTATATCGGATAAGATCTTAAAGTCTATGGACGACAAGGAGGTCGTAGCTGTAATTCTACTAGACCTTTCTAAAGCATTTGACAGTATCAATCATGTATTGCTTCTAAAAAAGCTCCAAGTATTGGGAGTGTCCGATGACGCTTTATGTTGGTTTAAAAGTTACTTGACAGGACGACAGCAGGTTGTGCGCATTGGATCGACTGTCTCTGAAACACGCACACTCAATCATGGCGTTCCGCAGGGCTCAATTCTCGGTCCCATGTTATTCAATATATATATTAATGATTTACCTATGGTACCAAAGAATGGTAATTTGAAGTCTTACGTCGACGACTCGAAGCTACTTTTGTCATTTTCCGTCAATGAAGTGAACTCAGCGGCTGCTAAGCTTAACGAAGATCTACGGAGAGTCGTTTCTTGGTGTTCTCTAAATAGTCTGCTTATTAATCCCAATAAGACGAAATTACTTGTGTTCGCAACTCGTTATATGTTGAAACAGATACCGGCAGATTTCCATATTTTACTATTGGGGAAAAAACTGTTTCCTGTGACCTCAGCCACTGATCTAGGCGTGACACTGGATAGTGGTTTGACGTACGATGAACACGTCACAAAACTGGTTTCCTCTTGTGTCGGTAGCCTGTGTCAAATTAATAGAGCAAGGCACCTTTTTGATATGAAGACGTTAATTCTTTTAATAAACGCGTTGGTTTTTAGTAAACTCTATTACTGTTCAACCATATGGTCTAATTCAACGAAGAAAAAAATTGCAAAATTGCAAAAAGTTCAGAATTTCGCAGCACGTATTGTCAAGGGCACAAAAAAATTCGACCATATCACTCCATCTTTAAAACAGCTTAACTGGTTACCAGTCAATTATATGTTGCGATTCCGAGATACAGTAATGGCTTATAAATGTGTTAATGGTATGGCCCCATCATATTTATTTCGTATGTTCCAAACAAGATCACAATTACACAATTTGAACACAAGATCTAGCGAATTATTGGAAATATCTTTATATAGAACAGCGACCGGACAACGTTCTTTTCGCTACCGAGCTTTTTGTTTATGGAACAGTTTGCCAGAATGGCTAAAAAAACATAATCTTAATTTGGAACGTTTTAAAAGCGGGCTACGAAGTTATTTGGTTCAACAATTTCTCGATGAACAGAACTGAATTACATCTTTTACTGACTAAATTTTAAATTAAATAGTATTGATAAGCATTTTACCTTAAATATAACTAGCTTGATATTATATATTTTGGTGTTAATAGTATATTATATAGTTTTTAGAATATAATTTAATTAAGTAATTACTTTTTATAACTTCTGTATTGAACACTGAAAAACCCTTCTGGGAGTGTTTAACATTAATAATAATAATAATAATAATAATAATGTTGCGCCAATAGACGTACGCGATACCGAGCGAGACTGCTCCGAACTAACAACGCCCAAACAGACGGGCCCAGATTCTCGACTATTTAACAATTAGACAACGAAGCCGAGTTGTCTATGAGCGAATAGTCAACGAGGCGAAGCCGAGTTGACTATTCGTTCAGAGACAACGAGGCTGAGTTGTCTAATTGTTTTAGTATAAACTACATAAAGAAAACGGAATTTTTCACTTGATTTTTATGTAAAATTATAACGTTTTAACGAAATGAGCGTTTAAATGGCTTCCTTTAGCGACATTTCGCCTCGGCTTTGTTGACCACTACTCAGTGTTGCGAACTCTCAGGAATGACTTAAAAAATACAGCTTGTGAGTTTTAAAAAAGTTAAAAAACATGCCGTAAGACAGTATAATAGTAAGAGACCGTTATAGAAGCAAAGTTTGGTTAATTAAAACTTATTTAAAAGAAGGAAACAAGGCTTAAAAAGTCTAAAATTTCGAACACAAAATGGCTTCCCGAATTGTTACTAAATTAGTAAATAAAGTTTACGTTAAAAAGCCGAATAAAAATGCACACACATGCAAAAGAATCTGATTATCCGAATGTCGTTGAAATCTTTAAAATATTTGGAACATAAAGAGGCAAACCATTTCCATAATCTAGTATACATAGACAATAGTTTAGATTAAAATTTAATCGAAAAACTCGACTTAAAAAGGCTCGAAAAGGCGAAAAACAAACTCGGCCAAAATCTCAACATTTAAACGAAAAAACTCTTTAAAATGACAGCTAAATACATGAACTCGTACTTGAAACAAGCACGCACTAAAGAGGTTGAGAAAATAGGGGTAAATAGCTACAAAATATTGCTGAATTTCAACGATTCTGCTTGGAATATTAACAAACAATAATTGTGCATATATTTTAAAAAATCGCCTGTCACTTTCATGCTCAAAACAACAAGCAAAGTTGAGAAAACTTAAAAATTTTACTTTATGTGTCAGCAGTTTCCAAGAGTCTTTGTTTGTGTGTAATCCAGAACCAAAATTAGGCCATTTTGATAAGCTTTTTTCCTTTAAATGCAGCTTTTAAGACTTAAAAACGGCCACTGAATCTCGCGCCCTTCGCCGCTTGTTGCTACTAGTAGGCTATCACTAATAGCCTACTAGTAGCGTAGCCAATCAGAACGCACGATACATGATAGCCTACTAGTAGGTTTATACTAATTCTGGTTAGACGAGGCATAACGCAAGCAAAATAATGTAACAACTGAGAAAAAATAACGAGGCGCTAAACTTGCTGCAACTAAGCAAAGCATACAATGGCAGAATGAATACTCAGACCAAAGCAATGATCACAAGGCGCGAAACAACCGGTTTGATCGATATGACGTCACGGACTCCCCTCAGCGGATGTAGCCTGCATAATACAATATAACCACTCAGCACAGCATTTTTACATTGGTACTACCTACACTGGTACAGACACTTGTTGCATATTACATCCGCTGTTAACCTTGCTTAAATATATTTAACCACATTTAAATTGGGGACAAAATAGCCACCGCTTGTACACTATTTTACATTTCATCATACATAATGACCGATATAGTGTACAGATAATGAATGTTAATGAATACATATACAGTACATGATGTTTTAAATTAATAGAAATTCAACAAATACAGTATATGTCCCAAAAATGTTTGAGTGAAGAGTTTAAGTAACAATGCCAATCATCGCCGTACCATTTTGCTTCGCCCAAATTATGCATTTGAATTTAATTCCATTTGAAGATTTGGGTTGCATGAGCTGCGGCTATAGGATACGATTAAGATTTTGACGGATGGAATTTATTGAAAACCAAACCGTGCAATGGCAACATAGTTCAAAAATATACGGCTGAAGGCGTTCCGTTGCACACTCAACAAAATGGTAATTTTGATTCTATATCACGTTATCATTCATAATCAGCCAATTAAATGACCATAATTTATTGAGTTCCATGTTAGGGTTATAAACATTGAGGTGTTTAGGCTACAAACATCTTCTTACACGTATTTCGAGTCGGGTATAGTAATCGAATCGTAGTACAAAACATGAAGCAATTAATATTGTTCTTGTTATGTAGATTACCCTATAAGCTCTTGATTGTTTCATCAAACTGCGTTAAAAATATCAAAATAAATCCGACGGTAGAATAACCATACGAAGTCGATATTAAAGTTGATTATATTTTGAACACGACTTTTCCCAACTGCTGGTTAGCTCTAATAAATATATAAAGTTTACATGCACTCGAAATTTCCATCTATACAAAACCCTTTAACAATTACAGTAGTTCTACATTCTAATTATTACAGTAGTTCTACATTCTAATTATTACAGTAGTTCTACATTCTAATTATTACAGTAGCTCTACATTCTAATTATTACAGTAGTTCTACATTCTAATTATTACAGTAGTTCTACATTCTAATTATTACAGTAGTTCTACATTCTAATTATTACAGTAGTTCTACATTCTAATTATTACAGTAGTTCTACATTCTAATTATAGTAGCTACATTCTAATTATTTTCTTCAGGGAAATCCCTACGAAATTGGACGATTTTCTCGAATTCCAATGGAAACAAGGAGTGGAATTTCTGAGTCACCAACCTGGATATTTAGACGGTGAGTTAATATATAACTGCTTCTGTCTGTCTTTCTGTTTATTCTGTTTTGAATTTAGGTGTTCCGCAATACCTTATGCAACTCCGGATAACGCAAATCATCTATTTAAGTGTTGAAGGGTTGCGAAAAGGATGCTTATTAGGATGAACAATTATATAATGCCACATGTGTTTTATCAGATATAAAGTCACTCCACGTGACATATTATGGCTGACATGATTTGCCACAAGGTTTATGAATTATTAATGAGTATTTTAAGTGTTGATAAAGTAGCAATTTTTAAATCTGGGTAGCATCAAAGACTGTTGTTTCAGGGACCGGTCATTAGTTATAGCGGGAGGTGACACCCAAGAGATATGTTTTTCTTGGTAAAAATTTCATGGTGTTTGCACATTTATACTTTCTTTGGAGACACCATTTCCTCCTGACAAATCGGAAAATGGCCAAGATAGTGACTTTGATTGATTTAGATATTGTATATATTGACATATATACGACTGTTGGCATTGACTTTTAGCCTTCAATATTTGAGTGGGTCATGCCATGGAAATAACAATAAATTGTTGTTACCCAACCCGTGGGTTGTTCTGTTTTCCATTTACCCAACCTTTTAATTACTCAAAATTCAAAATGTTGTTTACCCAATCGCATTCTGCACTGGTCCAAATTGCAATTGAACTATGCGAATTGTACGTGGTCCTTAGTACGCGACTCTCTTCGCCACAGGACATAGCTGCCTGTTTGTATGTCCATGCCTGTCTTATTTGTCTTTCCGCATGCATGTCTTGCTTACTTACTTACTTACTCTATCGCTCTACACTTCATATCATATCATATACTTTCTTAATTCATTCTTCCATTTAAGAATTTTTAATATACATGAATATATACTAATATGTGTAACATTTTAAGTACACAAAATCTAATCGGTCCTTCTTCAAGAGTCCTCGCATAGGTCCCTCTTCAAGAGTCCCATTCGTACCTTGCCTTTTTGGATCTTCGATTTATATAAGATCGAAAACTCAGAAGTCAATGCTGTATTTTTGTATTTACGAACTCATGCTATACCCAACGGCTATAAAAACGGAGATTTGCAGCGAACGATGACAATTTTCTTTTTTCTTTTCTAGTTTTTCAGCAGTATGACTATAGTAAGGTTTTTGAAAGACTTGTTCCTTAGATTGGTTAACACGTACTAGGATTTTTGGAAGACAACACTAGCCTCGCGTCTCTTATGACTGACTAACTCTTAGTACGATTTTTTAAGACCGTTTTAGCCTCCTTCCGTAAGATTGGATTTCGCCAAAAGAACACAATTGAATTTAATGAAAAGGATATTAGAGTGAACGTCTTACTCCATACTTCCATAAACATAGTCACAAAAATACTTCGCTCTAGACAACCAGTTACTGCAAAAGGTAGAAAACATGTTACAGTACAAGCAACTACTATTGCGCAAGACTTCGCCATTCTTAGATTTCGCAACTTTTTTAGTTCATTCCATTTGCATGTGGTGAGTTACCCGCTGTCCTTCGGGCTGCACGGCATATGGAGATGTATATATACACAGTAATTAGTATGGCCAACGATATTACAACACTTGTTATCGGCCGTGCAACTTGTCCAAGAATTGCATAAGAAAGCGTCACTACACAACCTACCAACCAGAAATATGCTGCTAGACTCAGTAATCGTAACTTTGTCATTTTAGTCCGATGGAAAAACGGGTGGACAATACTCAGATATCGCTCGATGTTTAACGCAAATAAAGTTGCAAATGACATAGTAACTGTAGAAAACGTCAGTATTTCATGTAAAATATGAATTGTGCAATTTGGATTCCCGTTTATTGTGAAAGCCAAGCTTAGGACGAAGATGGGATGACCAACAACTGCTGCAGTAAAGTCAATTACAGATAACAACATTATTAGAAAATACGAAGTCTTGTTTCTAAGTCGCGCAGATCTCCAGTAAGCAAGGATTGTCGCTACATTCAGAGTTACTGCCAACATAATCAGGAAGATATTACATATTGAGCCAATAACATAGCTTATGTAATACGTTTGCGATGGGAAACTAAGGACCATGACATAGTCAGCATTGTGAAGTGGGCAATTTTGCCATAATTTCTTGGTGATATTCATATCCGACATCTTTGAAATGAAGTTTTTCACCTTGGATGTTTAAAATATTTATTATTCAAGAGGAGGGATTTTGCCATTTTATTGCTTTATGAATATCGTACAGTACAAACATGTCGATTTATTAACAGAAATTAATTTCACGAAAACAAACACGTGAAAATGTCGCCATTGCAGAAATTAAAACGCAGTTCATATTAATGAAACCAAGATCGCACCATGCCCAAGATAGTCAATATTTTCAGCGTAAGGAAACATCAGTCCGCTATCGAACGGCGAATTTATCACTGAGGGCATCAAGGAAAATGTACTTACTTGGAGATGGGGCACTGGAAAGGTGCGAAATTCTAAGGGGGTCGGAGGATCCACCTCCAGACAAATATTCGCCTGGTTGTCAGACACAACTTTTTGATATATTTCATCCGCCAAACAAAGGAGTATTGAAACACTTTAATGTTTGAAATGCTAACTATTTTTCCATTTTTGCTTATGTTTTAAGACGTAAGGGGCCTGCCCCCCCCCCCCTTTACTTTGTGGGAAAAAGTTTATAACATGCAAATGTAGTCAAAGTCAATAAAATGCGGATGAAGAATTATAATGAAGATGAACAGGATGCATACAAAATAACTGATTAACTAGGATTAAACTTCAGAATGCAGACGAAATTATTAACAAATCTAATACTGTTTTCAACTGTGTTGACATGAAATATTAAAATTATGGAAAAGCATTTTCATTAAGAAAAAATCGATTAGCGTTTACTTTCCATGTACACTATAATTACAAATTTCAAATCGATATTAAGAAGTAAATATAAATATTCCCTAGCACTTAATTTTAACAATATTAAGAAGAAGTAAATATAGATATTCCCTAGCACTTAATTCATGCAAAGCAAGATTGAGATGTGTTTTAAGCCTGGTCTACACTATCAAAGTTTCTTTTGTCACAGTGTAGGAATTTTGCATCGGTAAATTTTTGAAGGATTTTTTAAGAAATGTTTCATGGAACTGACTCTGTGTTTAACACTCAGTTTGTTCAAACATTTCTTACAAATCCTTTAAAACGTAAAATTTATCTTTTGAACAAGGCTTTATAGATTATTCATATTGATATTGCTAAATAAGATTGAATTATATAACATCGATTATATAGCATCGAATACCCATCTTAAAACTAATAATATAAAAAAATACTCTGTAGTATACTTCAATGCAAAAAAGTAAAACGTCGCAAGCGCTCAAAGAAATATATTTAAGTTTTGATTTTTAACAGTATACTTGTAACTATCATTACAGTTGTTGTGTTATCCAAACGAATGAGTAATTTCGCGTGTGTATCATGCATGCATGCAAGTGGCTGTGAATATTCTTCTGCATATTTTTTCATGCATGTCATTAATAAGTAATAACATATGGTTTATTGTGCAATTTGGAAAAGCATACACATTAAAGTGAGTTTCTCAAAGACCGCAAATTGCACCCCTCCTTCGAACCGAGTGCCTTTGAAAAGACATTGTTTGCCTGGCGGTTAGGCAAATATTCACTTTCGCATTTTAAAAACAATAAAATGTGCAAACTTTACACTTGTAATTTTTACTGCGATTTCTAGTTCGATTTTTTCTTCTGATGCATATGAATGAGTGGATGAGTTATGAATGTTGAATATTACTGTTATTGTACACCGGTAATTATTTGCTTTTTTCCCTTAGTTGCCTCGCTGTTATCTTGTCTTCATCAACTGAAACACGAAAATGTCAAACTGGAAGCACGGCTTACTGATCTGGTCAAACGTCGTGATCACTTGTTGTTGGTAAATTCCCGCTTATCCAAACCATCAAATTTGTCTGCGGCGAGCTCTCCCTCCTTGACTCAAGATGTAAAGAGAGCTGAAATCGCTTCGCCGAACGTTCTTGAAAGTTCAAGAAACTCAAGTTTGGAAAGAAATAACCAAGCACTTTCTGGGAAATCTCCAGAGAATGGCCCGTCCGAGGTGGATGCGTTGCCAAAAGATGGACAGGAACAAACAGCAAAACAACAAGATCTGAAAATTCAATCACAAACTAAAGAACAGTTAACGACGAAGAAAGAACAACAACAGCAACGACAACGAACACATTCAGATCTTCCGCAAACGGTAAAGGAAAGTTCACAACAGATACTCGACAAGAAAATCCTATCAAAGTAGATACACCACCGAACATCGACGAACGATTACGTGAGGCAGCATCAAGTCCACCACGAGGAAACAAAACTACAGCCGAAGGAAAATTGGCAACTGTCTCGCTATCTAGCATCGCAGGAGAACGTCCACCGAACCGACAGTCACCAAAAAGTCGAAAATCTCCGCAAGGTGGCGGCGGGAAGAAAATGAAATCGCAAGAACAGTTGTTGCAACAGGAACATCAGAAAATTATGCAACAACAGCATCAACAGTTGAAACAACAACAACTAAACCGACAAAAGTTTCAACAATCTCATTTATTACCGGTGGGTTTTCACGAAATTTTTATGAGATCTTACGTTTTCTACCTACCATCCTGGACAAAACATCTGCGACACTACTGAACATCTCATCAACTCTTCCAATATTGTCGCAAATTTGGAACCTCTCCCTTACGCCCACCATTTTTAAATGGTAAATGTTCCATTGCATTCCTAGAAAACAATTAAAGCGATTGCAGTACGTCCAACATTATTTTTGTGGGCAGAGGGGGGATAATGAGTAAATAATTAATAGAGTGTCGCTGATGGTTTTGACCAGGATGGTAGGTGTATTAATGTCGTACATACTGAATCACAGTTTTCGGACTGTTGTAAGTAAATGGTTGTAATATAAACATGATTATTATATGGCTTTTCAAAATTCTCTATTCTGATTGGTTGACAAGCCAAGTAAAAACCCATATCCGGACCGTGGTCCGCATTTTCCGTATCTGAACCGGTGTCCCGGATGTCGTTTATCTGGCGGGAAATTTTTGCTTTGCAAACAGAAAAAATTTTTGCTTTTTAATTTTCCAATTGTGTGTCATTAAAATTTACAGATAAAAATTTCAAACAACCAAATTGTTTTTGATTGAGCACGCATGCTTACCGTATATTGCTGCCCAGTGAAACTGACGATAGCCGATTTAATTCGCTCGAAAAGCAAATGCTCACAGACTCAGTTCAGCCATATAATAAACCGATTATTGACCTCGCTTATTCGGTCTGTACTGTGAAATATCAGACCTCTGTTTTTTGCATGGACCTCGCTCCTTCGTCCATACTAAAAAACCTCGGTCTGATATTTCACAGTACAGACCTCGCGCTCGGTCAATAAGCCGTTAATACACTTTTCCAAGAAATAGGTCACTTTATGTACAGAGCCTCGTTTTCGTGTATGCGAGATTACTTAAAGCTACTACTGTTCCCAGTAAACTGCGAAACGACCGTTTTTACGAAGGACATATTTGTGTACTTCGTGATCACAATTCGTTGCAAGCGGCGTGTGAAAAACTGCAAGTTTCAGTTTGACATTTCTGACAGTTAAATGAATTTCTAATTTTATAGTCCAATCAGATGTGTAGTTTTGAAATTTAAATCAAAACTACGCTCCTGATTGGACAATAAAATTAGAAACCATTTAACTGTCAGAACTGTCAAACTGAAACTTGCAGTTTTTCACACGCCGCTTGCAGCGAATTGTGATCACGTGGTACACAAATATGTCCTTCGTAATTGACAAAACTGTCACTGACAAACCACCTAGTTTAAACCCCAGTTTACTGGGAACAATAGTATCAAACACGAAGACGGCGCCCTATAGCCATGGTTACGTACTTTCCTGAAGAGTGTATTACATATGCCTTTCTGATTGTTTTGCCTGCAATGCATTTTGCCTTTACGTTTTCAAATTTGGTCCACCCCTCATTGTCACATTGCAGCAACACTATAAGATCGCATCGTACAGCAAGTCACACAGTGAAAAATTTGATATGTAAAGACGTTCAAATATTTGAAAATGTTTTCTCATAAATACTGCGAGTTCAAAAGGATACTAGTGTATAGCTCAGTGCATTTTAAGGAAGGAGGAGAGTGTCGGGTACCTTCGATTGCATTATTCATTTCTGATTTATATTTCATCCATTAGCTCCAGCAAGGTAACCAGCAATTCAACCAACACTTCGCACATCAAAATTCTCAACTGGCATTTTTCAAGTTGCCTGGTTACAACGGCTCGGAACAACACGCGATGCATCAGGCTAAACAAGGTCAAATGAATGGCAGTCCTCAGCAATATAACAGTCAGTCACTTTCCAGACAATTCGCTAACTTTGTTCCGTACATGGAGCCTAGCAGTATACACAATGTTCGCATGCAGGGATATATGCCTGTTTATCCTGTGGAGAACCCGTTAAACAAAGTAAGTATATATATATTCAACTCTTATAGTTTTTGTAACCAATATCACCTTACTCTGTCTGGCAGTCGGTCTGGAAACACTATTTGTACTTCTCATATTATGTTAAATAAAACTGCATACGCTGACTGGTTGCACTTTTTATAATCCCAAGTCAAAAGTATTACATGGCTTTTCATCTAATGCAATATAATCGCTATTCGCTACTAATTTTCAAATTTCTCATCACTCGACTTTGTTTAGCTTTTCTAGTACGTTTATACGCGTTTTTAGCCTGCTTAGAGTTAAATTTATTACTTTTCTTGCCATACATAATAATATAATATGTAATATCAATGTAAATTACAAATATGGATAGCAAGATACTTTGTTGTAGCGAATAGTTCGCTACACTTTTGAAACTGCAGCTGTAGTCAGTAGCGGGCTACACTCTTTGACAAGTAGCAGTAGTTGTAGCTGACCACATTAATAAGCAGGAATTCTGGATGCAGGAATTCTGAATTTTCACTGAAGCGTGGAAACCCTGTATACTACACATCTATTGCCGTGATATATGTAATTATTCCCGTATCTGTAGAAATGCATGTTTTGGCATCCAACACCTCGTAGACACGAGCTTGTTCTCGCATAGCGCATGTGGTACAACACGATGACATCTTCGCATCCACATGGGTGAAATGTGACCATAATGCTCTAGTGACAGACCACAAGGGAAGTGTCCTTCCACTATCGCTAATGGACATCCATTAACTCTATTCAACACCAAAGTGAAGGAGTGTATAAAAACGTGTTTCGCTGTTGCTAACCATAACGCGATTTTTCTATATATGCGTACGGTTTGATCTCATATCAAGATTAATTTTTGTTGCAATTTAGGTGATGGAAGAGAAGATGGACAGCTCGGCAGGCATGGACAAAACTGAAAGGAGAAATTGACTCTACTCTGACTAACAAGTTTTTTATTTGAACCATTTTATTTATGGACGAAACAAACGGAATGCGTTGTTGCCCCCACACCATCAAAAAAGTTAAATCAAAGATTTTCCATTTGGATAAATACCAAATATTTCAACATCGTTGCATCATATTGGGCCAATATTAGTGCGTCCGTTTGAACGGGCATGGTTGTGTTAACACTGTGAGACTGCATGGGTTGGTAAAAGTTGCTGTTTAACGTTATCCGCGGTGGCGCCGCCAGGACTTCCTTTGGGGGGGGGAGGCAACTTATTAATTTGTGAGTCACAACTCTAGAGGTGTCTTGGGCGTGCTCCCCCGGTAACGAATTGAATTTTGGGTCTCGGAAACGGCATTTCCTGAAGAAAACATGAAGAAGACACCTGAAGAAAAATGTAAAGGTCTTAATTAGTCAGCTTTTTACTGTGTTAAATATTTATTTCAGAATACTTGACAAGTTAATTCAGTTGGAAACATATAAAGTTAATTCAAGTGGGAGACGTAGAGCTTCATATTGGAACAAATAATACGCCAAAACTGTCTGCTGATAAATTTCCACCTATTCCCCAATTTTCATCGGAACTGAACGAATCTACAACTACACTCTGAGAAAGTTGAGGGGAGGTTGGCGAGCGCCCCCCCCCCCACCCCCACTCTTGGCGGCGCACACTGGTTACTTGTAGTTTTCTACAACGTTAGATCTGGTAATGAACGTCTACAAGAATGCGTGAAACGCAAAATTTAACTATACGGTTGTAAAAGACGCGAACTCACCTTATACGTAATTGGGTTAGAGGAAGAAGGTTCAGGTTAAGCATTTTAACCTCATGGTATTTTTTGTAATCATTATATTACATACAGGTTCTTAAGGTACATTACCCAACGTTGTTGGGAGCGTTTGAACATTATGTTTGGTTGGTGTAAGAGCATAAAGCTCGACTTCGCGGGAAATGAGTTTGTTCCTATTAATTTAACAATAACAGCATAAAACACGTACAAAACAATAATACTTGTATTAACAGTTCGCCATCTTGAATTGCTCCTTAATTATGACAAATTCTTATACCACCGGGAAATATCTCAGGATTCCAGCGAACCACACTACCCTTACTGGAAGATCTTACCTCCGCTTTTAAGTTAGAAGTAAACTTGGAAAGGTTAATGACTGTGCTCATTGATTTTGGAAAATTTTGAGGACATGCCTTCGGTACACTTTGGCTTTGGCCCTTACATTTCTAACAGTCATTCCTTATTAACCAGAAATACAATAAAAAGTTAGCATTTATTATGTATAGAAAATTTAGACTGTCACAGTTGTATGCTGAATTTCAAGGAATGCAGCTTAAATAAGCAGGAGGCATATGCTTTGAATAGAGTAACAACGCTATAAAACATGGAGAAAATCGTATATCTGTATAGCCCCAGCGAGTTAACGCTCTTATAGAGCGTCTAGTTTACCTCAGTTCCAACAGCAAAATCATCAGATTTAAAATTAATGTCTTCATTCAATATGGGTGGTGATTTATTAGCTACATCTTTACAAATTTACAGCTACACCTTTGGCTTCACAAATTACAACAATTCTGATTCAGGAACCGATGCCGTAACCCCCCGTCCAAACCGAGGTCCAAACTGCCCTGACAGTCACGCCAATGTCCCAATCTCAAACACTCCTCCACTCAGCGAGTCAGCTCTTGGAGCAGTAGACTGGAATCTTTGGAAGCACATTGAGTTCATGATCAAATGAAACATCAATGATTGGATTGTTTGTCAACCAAATGGAGGAAATCTGGTCAGAAGGGGAAGTGGAGATACTACCGCCACGTTTTTTATATTCTGACAACTACTATAACACTAGTTGTCAGAATATAAAGAACGTGGCAACAGCTTGTAGTGGCACGAAAAAGAATTCACTGGCTCCCTTATGGACCATACTTTAGTGGTCCCTCATTGTTCTATTTCTTTAATGGATGCACATGTTATGCCTACCCAACGCATGACCCTTTTGGCAAAGATCGCACTGATCACAAGAAAGGAGTCAGCAACCCTGGCGGACAAATCTATCTTCGCTAGAATCCAAACCTTCGACTGAAGTTTCATATGAAAGTCCCCAAATGGACGTCATAATTATTCGTTCTACGTGTTATGTTGTGCAATACGTTTCAAAGCAGCCCCTTGCAGGCTCTAGCGATCATGTTGTTCCTAACGTTCTTGCCGTCCCTAGCATTCTTGCCGTCCCTAGCGTTCTTCCTGTTCTTGTCGTTCCTAGCGTTCTTGCCGTCCCTAGCGTTCTTCCTGCTCTCGTTCCTAGCGTTCTTCCTGTTCCTAGTAAATTCCAAACCTTCACATAACACACTTGATATAGCTTGCACAAGTAATCCGGGCGTAGATATATAGTCATACATAGCTTTTTAAATAACCCCTGAAACGACATTAGTAATAGCTGTGGTAACTGGCTAGACTGCATGGAAAGTTTAATTTTTTTCGGTATTTATAATATAGAAAAATTACATAGCATCAGAAATAAAAAAACCCCCAAAAAAAACCAAAAAAACATTTAGCATAGTATTAGCAACTTTGTATTGGTAATTTGGACTGCTTGCTCGGCCTCAAAAAGCGAGGTCACAAGATGGCGGAATATAAAAGTGATTGCACATGGATTATATCAAGGGAGCACGCCAGAAATATTTGTGTAAATTTATACTAACCTTTTAATTACATGTAAATGTTTTCAATTTTCATCGGGCGCCATTTTGAATGTTGAAAGCGGTATATATTATTAGCTTATCGCAGGCGCAATATTTTATGTTCACTTTGATATTAATTTATGTTACACGATGATACTCCGAAGGGCGACCGAGAAAGATCCGAAATTTAAAATAAGGCGGAGAAATAATAAAAAATAAAGAGGGGAGTGAAACGGCCGAACACGTGATGGGATATTGGCCAATGACAATGCGTATATCCAATTTCGTTATCTGGCCATGCTCGTTGACCAAGAACTGTCGAATCACGGGCAATAGGACAGGTGTAGTGTTGTTAAATAGAAAGTTAGAAATGGTATTGTACTTACTCATGTATTATAATTATGTTTAAAAGATCAGAATATTCATAACTTCTTATTTTGTTTCATAAATAGTTCTGTAATATTCGAAACAAATTCCATATCTGCTTCGTCTGCCATCGCCATGTTTACTCGTCCCAATCTACATGCTGCACGGCATTGCCGCCCCTCCTGGCAAAATAATAAGCAAGCGAGAAAAATTAAGGAGAAAATAAGAGGGTAGGAACATCGTTGTCATAAGCTGGATGCAGTGACACTTCCATATATGGCACAAACGTATCCATAACTTCCATATATGGCACAAACGTATCCACGACGCGTTTTATAACGTTTTATTTGACGTAGGGATGATGTGTAATGCTGCTTCCCGCCTATGACGATTTGAATTAGTCATGTGATACAAGATTGAGAAAGCTGATTCGCCCAGAGCGATGAAACGCCCACGAAACGCCCACAGTGTTCCTACCCTCTTATTTTCTCCTTAATTTTTCTCGCTTGCTTATTATTTTGCCAGGAGGGGCGGCAATGCCGTGCAGCATGTAGA